GACCCTGGCCTTTGGGGAAGCAAATACGCCTTTCCAGGTGCTGCAGTTCCCCTTATGCTAGAGAAAATTTTGGTCCAAAATCTGGGTATTTTTGGAGACTAAAGCGGATTCTGAAATTTTCTTTCCCAGCTAATTCCACATCCCCCTGGCAAGCTTGTGCCTGTTTCCCTGACAGATTAAATATTATTCTATCCCACGTGTAAGAGTCTTGCAAATATCGGCGCAATGACTACATATAGGAATGTATATTTTTGTTACTACAAAACTCGCCTTTTCCAAATTGCTTTGGAGAGTTCACACGTGCAATTATTATTTTTTAAATGGAGGGGACACTTTCCGAGCAAACCTGGCTGTGTGTCAGCAGCAGGACTGGATCTGCGTCAGCCACGGCAGAAAAAGGAGGCCACCAGTCCTCCACCCACCATAACCATTCCCAAAAACAATTTAAAAAAATTCCATTTCCAGCTTATTTGAAGCTCAGCATTCCGGTGTCATGGGGCCAAACGCAGTGCAGGTGCCTGACCATTCCATAATGGCTCAGTATCAAACTGGCTTCCTATCAGCTTCCAGTCACAACCAACGCCAACTAGATTTCACCTACTTTCATTATTTTTATTGCCCCTGCTAAGAAAAGTGATCAAATGAACGCATTGAGATTTCCTTAAGCCTCAGATTCAATTACCTAAAGCTGATGGGGTAGAAGAAAAGGGAATATCTCAAACTGAAGATCCTCCTAGCCGAGGCTGCTACACCTAATGATTAGGGAGACAGTAAGGTAAAAACCAAAACTATCCCCCAAGCGTGCCCCCTTCCTCCAAGTCCCCACCAATCTAAGGATGGAGTTGTTTTAAATGGTTTAAAAATATGAATTAACCCTTTAAGCCCAAGGCTAGAAGAACATTGCACAAACACCTCGTGCATCCTGTGCTCAAGACCAAGTAATTTACATTGCTTGGATATATTTTTCTTCATAAACCGCTGCCTTGGTTCACGGGTGAGCAGGAAGCAGCCCCTGCGGCGAGGGCAGCAGCCATCCCAAGCCCGATCACCTGATATTCAAGCGAGCAGCTTTGGCACAGCAGTAAGACTGCTCGCTAGGCAAAAGCCTGACCTGCAGCCTGGCTGTATCAACCTGTGTTTTATCAGACCAATGTTCCACCTTAGGAATCGAGCTCCTACTTTAAAGGGGCATCTTTACGGCAAGGCAGTACCTTGGGCACAGCACGGCCAACCTGTTTGCAACAGAAACCAAAAACGAGGTCTGCAAGGACTGTTTTCCTAAGTTTACCTGAAACTGAAGAGCGGGAGAAGGGCGAGGTTACAGCAACACACATCGTTTATTTTGGAACAACTCTGCTGCCTCCTAGGCAGGGGGTGCTCGCTACAGAAAGCTTTCTGTGGTTTTGTTGGAGGGGCAACAGGGGGGCAAACAGAAGGCAAAAGGACAAGGTGACTTGCTTGTAAATACCAAGATTAAAGCCAGGTACTAGCGCTGTATCAAAAAAGTTAAAGGAGGAATAAACCACAGACTCCTAGAATATCTCCAGTTGGAAGGGACCCATAAGGATCGAGTCCTCGCAGGACTCCCTGAAGCTAAACCGTATGGCCACGAGCATCCTACCAACACTCCCTGATCTCCGGCAGACTTGGGGCCCTCACCGCTCCCCCAGAAGCCCGTTCCAGTGACCGACCACCCTCTCAGCAAAGAGGTGGGTGCATGCAGTAAGTTTAATCGTTAAGAAAACCTTTCTGTTCCCAGACGTTCACCCCGATGTCTCCGTGAGGAAGTATCAGTGCAGAGTTTTGTCATCCCTCGATCACCAGGACTCACCCAGGCAGGACTACCTCATTACGCCTGACAGTGACAGAAGAGACTCGGAGGCAAACTCCTCCTGCTGCTGCCAGGAAAACTTGTGTCGCTTTTATTTCCGTTATAAGCCTGTACTAGGAATAAAGGACCCCACTACTACCTACCTAGTTTAGGTCTTTATCTAAGATTTGACACAGAAACTGGCAAAACTGCCTGAGAGAGAGGGAAGAAAGAACGTATCAAGGTTCCTTCAAACGTGTTTAACTGGAATAGATACAGCAGAGCCCTTGTTAAAAGCTAGCTTCTGTACCATTTGGCTATCCCTGACATGTGCTGGGACGCTGCACCCAGAACAGCCCTAGCAAACACACTCAATTCATACGGGTAATATCCTCACAGACCATCACATGAGCCCCATGTCATCTCTTTCCTCTTGCTGTTCTTGTCCTGCCCCTCTTCTGAGGATCAATTTGTCTCAAATGAAACAAACAAACAAATCTCATATTAAGTGGACACATCCCAAACTTGCTTTCATGAAGAATTAAAATCTACTTTCTTTGCATGCAGAAGAGACCAGGACTAATCAGTCTGCTGAGAGTATTCAGTTTGCTCACTGACCGCAAGCTTGTTATTTTTGTCACTCTCCTTCAACTGCTTGCATGTCATTTGCATTGTTTAAAGTCAAAACAAGATCACCTCAACTTGCAGCTACAGTACTTCTCATTTCATACATCACCAGTCATGCTGGAATCACAACTTTGCTTGTTATTTTGTCAATGTGCAAGAAGCAGAAGAGAAACCAGCTTACTCTTCTGAAATGACATTGGCTCTGCAGTGCTGACAGCAGGAAAAAACATCAGTCAGGTTAACAGATACGACTCAGGACAAACAGAATTCCTATTTCAGTCTCATTTCTGACCATGCAGCCACACCAACCCCTGCGACACTGTTGGATAGCACTGTGCCTCCACCAACTATAAACTTGCCTGTTTCTAGTGCATATCCCCGCCCTGGCTCATCCTGGTTGGCATCAGCAGCCTTTGCACAATACTGTTCCCTCTTGCAGAGCCCCTCAACTTTTCAGGTGTTTGTTTAACAGAGATCTGCTTACTCACAATTATTTTCCCTTTCCTTCCCCTTCCAAATTCTGTCCTGGTTAGTTCTTTAGTGCTTGACTACAATCTTTATTCAGATTACACAAGATCTACTTACGATCAGTACGGTATGTGCTCACTCAGCTGCCCTAAGACCTAGCACTGATAGCAGGAGAGGAGAAGGATGAGAACAAGGGTTTCCTTGGGCCCGTTAAAGCCACCATCGACGTGCGACCTCCGCTGTTCCCTTGGAGGTTTAGGTCCTTTGAAAGCAGCAACACTCATTCAGGCTTCAAACAGAACACAAGATCAGGATGTGAATTTCACATTGACATTTTTATTAACGCCAACTGTTTTAATTTTTTTTTTTTTTTAAACAATAGCACAAAAATGTTTCAGGGAAGCAGTCTGACAGTTAGTCTGATGACCTTCTGAAATACAGTTAAGCCACACCAAATATGAATTCCTGTTAAAGAAAAAAAATAAATATGGAACTCCAACCTTTGTATTAGAGGGTGTCGTGCCTGGTTAGTAGACCACGCTGCTTTGTGAAGTAAATGATGGCACACAGCTTAGACTTCATCATCACGCCAGTCATCACTAATTTAAGGCTTCTGAATCAAATTACCATCAACATCACAGAAAGGAATGAAAAGCTAGTGTTGCTACGGCCATGAGGAGATTGAACAAGCTGGATCTTTTAGACAAGTAGCGGTGTCTTGAATAGAAGAGACCTGCCCTAACAGCAGCCAGGAGAACCAGTCACATAGTAGTTATCTCCTCATTTGCATGCATTTTGAGGGTGCAATTTAGTAAGAAAAAAAAATAAATTGCATGAATCTTTCTCTTATTTAATGTGGCTATGAAAGATGTTTCCTTACAATTCCGTTATCTCTAAGAAGGACATCAGCAAGTGGAACCAAGGAGAAAAACCGAAGAGCAACAGAACATTTTTCTTTTTGCTGAGAGGTAACACAAAAGGGAGGGAACCTACTATCCTTGGATTGGGGGGGGTTGCAGGAACATCTCCCCAAAACCTTGCGCTTAGAATGATGCACAGACTCTATGTTATACCAGCTACCTGCCTTTCCGAGTGACCTGTTCCACACGACGCTTAGAGGCATTACCCCAGTCCTGCCCCAGACTCTCCACAAAATTCCACTGACCTAGGAACCACTGGTTTGTTTTTTTGGGGAGGGCTGGGGGAGGGTGTAAAAAACAGAACATCTGTCAATAAGAGTGTCAGGAGGGGGTTGTTAAATATTTTAACCACTGACAAGGCTTGAGGAAGTTTCACAGTTTTGTTATGCTCTATTTTATTACTATCATATTTACAGATTTTTCTCTCTCTTTTTTTTTTTTTTGCTGAATTGCTGATAATTTTAATAGAATTTAAATCTGGAGTGTGAGCAGGAACCAGTTAACTACATTCATTGTCCAATCCCCATTGGTTTGAGAAAAAGACTCCAAATTCTTGGCATATGAATCAGCTGTTGGGTAGCTCCTCCCTCTCCCCATGAGGCGGCAGCAGGACTGCAGCGGTGGCATGCACAGATTCACACCATGGCTGGTGGGGCCTTGCGCTGCAGAAAATATTGGTGGATGTTCTCGGCGTCCCGCTTCAGCCAAGCTGCATTCAGCAGAATATTTTCACAGCACTGCTGGACAGTGCGTTCTGCCGATGGAGCTGGGTGACTCTCAAAGAAGGCCTGTATAAAAAGCACACAACCATCCATAAGGGTATAAACAGGCATAGACAAGATCATATTTTTAAGTCGCCACATTCCCTAGGTTATATAGAAATGCTTTTGTGAACTATGTTCCTCGTGCTATCTGCTCCCACCAACGTCACAGACTCTTGACAAATTTGCAGCGTACTTGCAGAGTTTGCAGGATGTGTAAACCCCAAGTACAGAGTGGGAAGAGCAAATGCCATCATTTCTCTGCTAAAGGAAAGCCACGGTAGGATTTCTATGAACTAACCCAAACGCTGCCTCCTGTCCCGTCTTGTCCTTGCTCCCAGGGACAGCAAGTGGCACAAAAAGATTAATTCAGTCCCTCATCAGGAGGCAAGAAACGAGCAGCAAATCAAGTGTGTATTTCTGGATACTTGGAAGAAGACACTAAGGGAAGCCTAAGGCCATTTTGCAAAAGCATTTGCTTGGTATCAGATTTCTTAGCGCTCTACCTAGGCCTCTTTCCAAGCTGCATAATGACCTCCAAGCACCAGCAGCACTCGAGTTTTGCTGAATATTCTCACGTTTCTTTCTCCAGAATCAACAATATCGATCCCCTGCGAATAGCTGAAGCTGAAAAAACTACACCAGAGGCTGCTGTGACTTTGCACTTTACAATGGGTGAAGGGGTAGAGTAAGCTGGTACAGCCGGGAGTCACCCCCCTCGTCACTCAAGCAAGCTTTTCCCAGTACCTGGCGGATCACCTCACGCTAACGTACCCTACAAGGTGACGTGGAAACTCAGACGCAGCTAAAAGCTAGGCATACTTTCTCAGGAAGTTCTCTTGGTAGGTAGTTATGATTTAGTTATGGATGATTGTTCTGGTAAGTGTTTTGCAAAGCGTTCTTTAAGAAAAAAATTAACTGCAGTGCAAGATTTCTCTGTAAAATCACTTGTGCTACTAAATCTTTTCTAAGAGATCACTAGGTGGTAAAAAAAGGATAGACGGAGCTCATGGCTCAGCATATCTTTGAAATAAGAATTCCTCCTGAGCATTTTCCTCACAGGAAAGTGATAATTAAGAGCCATATTTTTAAAGTTTCTTATTCCAAGAAAGAGTCCCTGTAAAAGCGCAGGCAAAGAGTAAAGAATAAAACCCACACACATTCTCAAAATGCCACAGAGACCTGCGCCTCCACTCTCAGGTCAGAGGGGATGCTCGGGTAATGAAATCACATCACCTTGAGCCACCAACTTCAAGACAGATTCTCTGCAAACACATTAATCTGCCTTGTGTCAAAGCCTTGCTCTTAGCATGCAGCACAAATGTCCACATAAAACTTGGGCCTATAGTATAGAATTTAGCCAATTTCTGCCATGTTAATTCCCCTGGGAGTCCCTGGATGCTAGCGCAGCCAGCCCCAAGTGTGCCATGTCGGTCTGGAGAGGAACAAAGTGGTGGTGTAAGCCTCAGCTTACTGTGGAGGTTGTAACAACTACGAATTTTGCTACGATTATCTTTAAAGGTTGTCTTTTGGGGAGTCTCAAAACCACTGTCACAAACTGCACAGGGGTTTATAATAGTTTATATTATAAACTAGTGAAACAGAAATCACTAGAAGTTGGACATTACTTTGTGAAAATGCTAATTTAAGACATTTCAATAAAATAACTCAGCCTAAAGCAGTGCAATTCAGGAACTATGCAACAGTCAAACTAGTTAGAGGTAGAGCTGCAGTTCAAAACCAAAAAACCACAGAAACTCATGGCTCTTCCACCAGGTGCTTACAGTCTAAAGCACACAATGGTCGTCACGTGAAGTTAATCACTTCTTTAATTAAAATTTCTTACCTTAACTTCTGTGGCCATTTTATCATTTGCAAATCCATCCACTGTTAGCTGAAGGAAAAAAATATTAACCAAGGGTGAGCTTTTAGCATTTCAAATATAACGGCTTAGTTTTGGTCATGTGTGTGAACAGGCCTTTTCTCACAGCCACACATACCTTTATTAGTCTGGATATTAAGAATCCACCTTGGTATCGATTATAAAGTTCCTCCCAATTGTCCCTTACAAATTTCCAAGCAGCTTTTCTTCCCTGCTTGCTGCCTCCAGCTACTCCACCAATAACAGATACCGTGTCCTGGGGACGTACCTCTTCCTGAAGATGAAAAAGTAGACAAATATTCAAGACTGTTTCAACAAATACAACACGTTGGCTTTATGCATTTCTACGCTGAATCTGCCAACGAGAGCTTTCCCCCTTCCCACTATTCCTCCTATTTTAGTGCATTATACACACACAGTGCTCTATCACCAAGTGCTCTGAACACACTTGTCCTTCTCACGAGGTAAGGAAGCGGCAGCTTCTCCAATGACTTACTGAAAGTGCAAAGGTGAGAACTTTTTGAATCAGTTCTGGTTGAGAGATGGCTCCAAGAACTCGTTCAATTCGGTTCTTCTCCTCCTGCATGTCTGCTTGCTTGTGAAGCTTCAAAGCCAAAGTGAATAATATTAGCGCCTGCTATTAAATGCCGAGTTCTTACCTAACACTGCCGAACTTGCTGTATATACTAGAGCAGCTAGATTAGTCCTCAAGCCTAATATGCGACAAATTGAACTTGTTCATGAATCATCCCGCAGCTATCCACGTTACGGACCTCGTTACATGTACATCAGCAGAAAGTGCCATTAGTAATAAACTGATCTTCACCACTGTTTATATAAGGTCAAGTAGGACCGTGCCTCCGAGTGATGAAAAATAATCCTACATTGAGAGATGCAGCAATCCACTAGGTGGCAATTTCCTACTGCACAGGGACCAGGGAGCACCACAACGAAGCCCTAGTGTTCACATCACACTGAGCTTGTCTGCAGATAAACTATGTCTTAGAGGAACTTGGAGGGTAGAATATTTAGCTTTTCGCTGCATAAGCTGGTGGTGTTAACAGAGTACGCACTCACCTTCAGCATAGTGTCTAAAGTAGTACTATCTCCGTGCTTCAAAATAGTTACATATACCTAAGATAGAGCATAAACAAGGAAGGTCCTTCAAAAACCACACTTTTAGAAACGCAACAATCAATTTCTATACATTTGGGTTAGATTTCAGACAAGTGAACAGATCTGGAAGATACCGGCACTGATCCTTTGTGTGTTTTAAGACTGGCTTTTAAAGGTGCATCAACTCCTTTACCTCTTCCTCAATTTCAGCATAATTTTGGTCATTTCAACCACAGCAAAACACCAGAACAAGAAATCTTTGTACCACACAACACCTAGCTAGTAAGCAATTCGCATACACCTGATCCATATTCACCATAGTTATACTTTGTGCTTTGCAGGGCCAAGCTGACACCCGCAGAGCTCTTCCACAATCCCTGCAGTTCACCACAGTACTTCTAAACCCGGAAGGTGTAGGCTAGTCACGGATGGATGTCAACGAATAGAAGTCAGCTCAGGTTCGGCACTGCACTTGAATAGTTTTCAAAACCCAAAAAGCAACACAACCTAGAGAGCAGTGTCATACTGCGGCAGTTAAATGTGGGTACAGCTAAGCTCATTAGTTATCACTAAGTATTTGCCACAACAGATGAGGCTTACTTGATTCAAGAAACACAGGGATGGTTGTACCATGCTCTCCAGTATCGTTTTCTTCATAACTGGACTTACCCAAGCTCCCACCACCTCTGCCAAAATCAGTTGGTCTCATACCTTGACACTGGTTTCCTCTAGCTTCCCTACTCTTGGAAATACAAGAGTTCAGCGTGTGCAGTGCTAAGCGAGTGGGGACAGTCTTTGGGGAACCAAAATTTACAATAACCTACAGGACTCCTCAGATCAGCTGACAGCATATGTTTTCCTTCCACATGGTCCTTAAATCGGCGTCGGGCTTCTTCTAATGTTGCCTTGTGCCCAGCTTTTCCTAGTTTGCCCAAGACCAGACCTCTCAGAAGGGCATCTAGATGACCTAGTGAGTGAGTAGGAGGGGAAAAAAAATAATTACTTGGAGACACAATTCAACAATTAAAATAATGAAGTGTTCTTCCACCTCAAGTAACTGGGGCAGAGCTGTATAACAATCCTTCCACATCCTTGAGGATACCTAAAGAAACTAGGCCTCTTCCCACTCTCCTTGGTGCCAACTGGAGAATGCATTGATTTTTTTTTTTAATTTTTTTTTGTTATGGCAAGAGGGTCAGGAGAAAATTATTCCAGACCAAACAAAACAGGCTAAGCTAAGTAACCTGAGCTAAGTCAGTAATATTAACCATTTGCGTCTACAACAGGACTAACTAGGACAAGTAAACCTGCACATATGTGGCTTTCCATCCCTGTAGTCTTAATAAGTTTCATGCACTCCAATAGATGCAAAGCTAAGGCAGAGAATTTTTATCAATCGGTGACCAGGTAGGGAGAAGTTTTACCATTTTAACTTGTGCTTGATCCCAGAGGGTTGTTTTGGAGTTTTGTGTTTAAGTATAGAAATCACCGTGAATGCCTACTTCATAATTTCTTCTTCCTCCCTTCTCTCTCCTTTCACTAAATCTTGACATTTATTTACACAGTTTTCCAAAACCACTACTGGATTTCACAGCAGAAGTTTCCTACCCTCTCCAGGTTTGGGGTCCCATCCCAGTCTCTCCCCTATTGGTGAAAAGACATCTTTCACGAACACCTGGATTTCCTCATAGAAGTCTGTGTGGGACAGGAGAGTTGAGAGGATCCCCAGGTTACAGCTGAGGTCACTCCACACAGTATAATTGGGCTCATTCACAAAAGCTTCCATGACTTTTAGAACCTCTACAGTGCTAATGATTCCAGCTCGGGCCTGGGAGAGGAAAAGACAGAGATTAATCTTACTTCCAAACAGAATTAAGACTTTTAATAACTCATCGCATTATTTTACATTCTTCCCTGTTCAGTTTGCACAGCCTGCATAAAAACCTCTATTTTTCTCCGTTGTGGGGTTCTGCCAAGATGAGTTAACACTAGTCAAAGCACCTTCGCTGTCTGCTCACGGTACACAATGCTTTTATACACAGGTAAGCACTTTACAAGGAGACAGCTATATAATTATAAGCACATTTTGCAAACAAGAAACAGACAAGGAGATTGAGTGACTTTACAAAATTGCAGCAATGCTGGCAAGAAAAAGCAAACCCCCAGAGTTATTCTCAGCTAGATACTACACCCACCAAAATCTTATTTTAACTAAAAACTGTAAAGATTTAGAGATTTAATTTTTGCTTTTCATTAAATTGAGAGTGTAAAACTGCAGAAGTAATTTTTCCTTCCTGCTTCCCGTGAACTAGTGCAAGTACCACCGCCTTTCCACCTCTGCCAGAAAAATTTTGTATTAACTGCTTCACAGCATCATCAAAACACTTCTGTGCTTAGTGCAGTTGATAATACCTACAGTCGGCATAGCCAACCAGGTTGCTCAGATTTCTGTTAATCTGAGACCAGACCAGTAATTTATGGTACCAGAGAAGAAGTGAAGCTGAATTTTTATTATCTAAGCTATATTCACCTACGATAAAAACATGATTAAAATGGAAAACAAAATAGGAGTCTAACAAATGTTTCTACGTGTATTATTTGCTCATTTTTTTTGCCCATTAGTCTTGCAATATTTGGGAAATAACTCAGACTACAGTTTCAAACCCCTTCAACTAAGCTGTGACAAGAGTTACAAGCTTTGAAGCTGGAGAGGCAGGGTAGCAAACCCACATTTTTAAAAGTTACAGAAGTTACAGACAGACTGCTTCCATAGGGTTTAAGTCTTATAATACAAGTTAGAACTTGTCGAGCTAATTAATAGCTAGATGTATGCAGTAATCCCAAAGGCACTTTGCCTCCAGAAACTGAGAGTGACTCTTCAGCCACCGACTTCTGCAGTTACTGTAGCTCTCACTATCAGACAGAATAGCAAAGAGTTGCTTACCAGAGAGAAAAGATCGTTCTGCAAGCCAAGCCTGTCCACAGGGGGTAGGGAGAGGTCTTTGATCGCTGGTATTAAACTCTCCAGCATGTCAGGGCTATACTGAGTACGGTAAAACCCTACCGTTCCAAGGTTTAACTGAAATGCACCAAAAGAGTCAAAAATTAAAAGTAAGGAACAAATAAGGAAATTCTTTTTTTTTAGATTTTTGAACCACTAGAAATTCCTCAAAGCATCACAGCTCAGAGAATTTAGTCACCATAATTTAAATAAAAAGAAAAAACAAATTGTAAGTTAGGGAGAAAGACTTAAGATTTCAAAGAAGAAATGCTCACTAAGAGGTACAGAAGATGAGAGCGAGCTGACACAAAGAAACAGAGGCTAGAGTTAAAACTAGGAGCAAAGAGAAAAGAGAAACTTCTCTTCCAGGGGTAACTCCTAACTGAAGGAATGCATCGAGAACATAAAACGCAGGAGACTGCAGGTGCTAGAATCTTCACTTTTGTAACCTCTCTCTCACAACCCATTTCATTCAATTCTGATAGAAAGAAACATTTTCTTAGGAAAGGAGAGCAAGCACCTCTGCCCAGCATAAAAGCAAGTCATGGTCAGTAAGCTTGATGAACTGCACTGGCTACACGCTGCTACCTACTAGCATTTTGGTGTAGGTGGTCAAACATTGCGGTTGGTTGAACAACAGTACCTAGCATAAACCAAAACCATTACTGAGCTCATCAGGAAGTCACGCCCTTTGCTGCCCCTATGATTTGGTCAGTCCAATCACCAGTCCTCAGGACTACAGCACCAAGTGAAAACCTCACAGACTGACAACCTTTGCAGCCAGCAGTTCCACAAATTCACCTTCGACTGAGCCAGCAGAAACATCTCATTTAGACAGGGCATTTTCAGAATTGGTCATTTCAGATTCAAGACCCATATCTGGGTCAGATTGGTCAATTCAGATTCAATCTTGGTGATTCAAGAGAATACGCAGGCCTGACAGCTGGAATGCCCATGTCAGTTAAACAGGAAGATTTGATTAATATTAAAAAAAAGAGACTAACCCTTAATGTTAATTTCCTGGAGCCGCCTCTCAGAGTATAGCTCCAGCTTAGAAACAATTACCCTATAACCTCAGTAGTTCATACAGCAACAGTCCCAGCCAGTTGCTGTCTTTCATTTTTTAAATTCAGTTTGACTGGTGCCTGCAGGAAACCGCAACAGTGAATTTTTTCACTTGCAGATTTGTACTTCTCTGGCAATAGCCAGTAGAAAACCTTCACACTAATGAAAGATAAACAGGACTATTTTTGCTCGGGACGGACTTTAACTAAACTGTGGTTGCCATGGGATACCAAGAAAGCCACCACATTTCAACTCAAAAGCTGCCTCTAATTGCACACTGTTTTTCCGGGCTTGGACTCCTGAAAGGTTCAAGTTTACATTGTCTAGACTCCTCTTGGAAGGCAAAGGACTACACTAAGCAAGCATTATAAAGAGGAGCCAACGTTCAATAGCAGCACAGAGGCCCCTCCATAAGAAATACAAGATTGCAAAGGGAAGGAAAAAAAAAGAAAAAGAAAAAAGAGAAGAGGAAAACGAAATGCAAGGGAACATTACAGCGACAATCAAACTTATTCCCGGTAATATGTTCTCCTTTGTGACAACTCACCTTCACCCACTGGTCTGGTTTGATGTCTTTCAAAACCAAGGTGAGCTCTGGTTTGTCCATCAATATTTGGATTTTGGCACAGGTGGGGTCATCACTTGTACAAATACTTATGGGGACCATCCACATGGGGAAATCCTCCCCTGAAAGAAGAAACAATATAAAGGAAGGCCTAAGGAATAAAAAAGTATGCACTCAACACTGGGAAACTCTGCCTGATGTTTAAACAAGTTTCTGCAGCAGTTTAAGCAAGCTACTTTGATTTGAATCTGACAAGGCACAAATCTGAAGGAAAACAGCAGTTCAAGAGGTAAAAACCAAGAATCCCTAAATCACCTTTCAAGCCAAACATTTTAATTTCTAGAAGCATGGAAGATGGGTGCAATCTGTATCTTAAGATAGAGCTGGCTTCCACATGAGGCATTTTTATTTCAGTGGCACTATAAAACCAGCAGCTTACAGAGCTCCTCAGATGGCAGCACTGGCCTAAACCAGGCATCAGAAAAGAATGAATGAAAACTGAACCAAAGGCTGCAGATGAATGCCGTTCTCCATGCAAGGAGGACGTGGAAACCACATGTGTGAGAGTGTTCAACCTTAGATTTTTCTAAAGTTTTAACAAATACTTAGACACCTGAATCCAAGCAGAGCACCTGCCTGCTCTGCAGTGCAGCTGTTTCATCTCTCAACGTTGCTGCCATTGCATGAAAAGCAACAAATACTCCATTCCTACTCTTAGTACTCATCTTACCAGTATAGGGTCCACTGGCACAGAATTTCTTCTGGACTAACTTCAACACCTTGTCATCTTCTTGCTGAGGGGAAAAAAAAAAATGAAAAGAAAAAGAGAGAAAGGAATTATCAGAACATCTAATCTCAGCTTCTGTATATCACAATACATTCATGTGCCCTGTGTTAAACAGAATAACTTGTATTTGCCTCCAGAAAAAGGAACTACCTCAAGAATCATTCCAGCACATTAATCACTGTTACTGTTAAAACACACATGCCCTATTTCTCATTTGAATTTGTTGTCTGACTTCAGCTTCCAGTCAGTAATCTTCACTCACCCTGCAATCTTGTAGAATAAGCATAATTGAACTGGAGTGAAAAGCAAAACATGTGGCAAGGGGAGCTAAGTCAGATATTCCCTCCCCCCAACACACGTTTCGCACACAAAGAGCGAACGAGCTATGTCAGCAAACTCCAAGCACATGATCTAGAGCGCTTGTGGAATAACTCCGTATCACTTTGCACTAGGTTCCTCAAGTGGGCTGCACTTCCCCTCCCTTCAGAAACAGAACTGTCACTAAGCAACCCACTGCACTGCCTCCTGATCAAAGAGAAGGTTTTAAATAATTGGATACTACTAAATTTGATCCTAAACCACATTTAAAGGCAAAACTCTTGATCTGAAGTTCTGAAAAATGCAAAATTATATTTACCTGTTCAGCCTCCACATAAATGAGCGGAAATCCCATTTGCTTGGTCCATGTATTCATCACAGCAGCAATAGGTTTACCACTAGCTTTTTCCAGGCTTTCCCAGAGGTCCTCTGCAGAAGAGAAGTCTGACTAAGCACTCCCGGAGTCTTCACACATCAGACATTATTAAGGACACTATATAGGCACTGGAGGGTGGGAGGCTGTATTATCACTCCAGTTTGCCCTTCATGTTTTGGGTTGTGTTTTTATCAACTCATAATAGATGATAGGCAAGAAAAAATAAATAGTTTAAACCACTCATGGGGGAGAGAGGGAAGAAGAAAGCTTCTTTTTACTAAAAAAATGCAATCAATACACATTGTGATAAAGTGTAATAAAAGTGAGCATTAAATATTCAAAATGGTAAATATAAGAATCTTTTCCTTCAGTTTTTCATATATTACGCCCAAAGAGCTGACCAAACATGGATTGGTTTTAGCTGCTAGAGCATTATGTTCCACTTCCACATTTATGCCTAATATACAAAAAACGTTTAAGTAAAGAAAGCGCTGTGAGATGTTATACAAGACTTTGAAGTGTTTAATCACACATGCAATCAATACTGCAAAAGGAAGCTTGCAAAAGGCTTACAGGGCAAATCAACATACTCTATTTCTAAATTAGATTACCACGCAGATGTGGTTATCAACGGTAAATGCGGACCTTTCAGATTACCTCAGCCGCATACTTCTGAGATAGAGAACCCCTACAGGATCTTGAATTCAGGCTGTGCAGGGGACACATTGCATGAAATGGGAAAAAAGCTGATTATTTCCTTGCATTTCCGTCATCTCAGGTGGAAAAAACAGCTGTTTAAGAATCCATCGCTTCAGCACTAAAAATTCTGTCTCCAGAAATCACTCTTCTTAAGCATATAACAACCACCCATTACCTGTAGCGGCATTCTTCTGCTGGAACTTCGTTAAATATAAATTCATTCCTTTCCGAAAGTCCTGGGAACATAAAATTGAACATGTAATGTGTCCTGGTTTCAGCTGGGATAGAGTTAATTTTCTTCCTAGCAGCGGGTATAGAGCTGTGTTTTGGATTTAGGATGAGAATAATGTTGATAACACACTGATGTTTTGGTTGTTGCTGGGCAATGTTTACACCAAGTCAAGGACTTTTCAGCTTCTCACCCTGCCCAGCAGGGAGGCTCGGGGTGCAACAGAAGCTGGCAGGGGACACGGCCAGGACAGCTGACCCTGACTGGCCAAAGGGATATTCCATACCATATGGTGTCATGCTCAGTATAGAACTGGGGGGAAGCTGGCCAGGGGCTGGACCACAGCTTGGGAACTGGCTGGGCATCGGTGGTCAGCAGGTGGTGAGCAATTGTGCTGTGCATTACTTGTTTTGTATATTCTTTTATCATCACCATTGTTGTTATTCTCTCCCTTTTCTGTCCTATTCAACTGCCCTTATCTCAACCCACAAGTTTTACCTTTTTTTTTCTTTTCAATTCTCTCCCCCATCCTACTGGGGGAACAGAGTGAGCAAACGCTCTGTGGTTGTTTTAGCTGCTGGCCGGGTTAGACCACGACAAATGGCACCAGAACGGAGTCCCTTCTAGCCTCCCTCCGAGCTGCATTTATATTCAAGAATCGGCCAAGGAATCTTAGGATCAGTACATACATCTGTAACTCCTTCCATATTTTCCCACTATCTTATTTCTCCTAGGTGAGTTCAAATAGATCCCAAGTACAAATTGGAGAAAAGTTTTCAAAATACAGACTAAGCAGATTTATTATTATTTTTTAATTCTATTTTTAACTGTAAAAAGATTTGACAATCTACATTTGGCTTTTTAACAACAATCTTTTTACCTCATCACCAATGTAGTCATGTAGCATTCGGATTACAGATGCTCCCTTGCTGTAAGAAATAGCATCGAATATTTCATCTACTTCAGATGGATGGCCAACACTAACCTATAGTAAACAGGATAATTAAGAGTGAGAACAATTTTGACTGCCATAAAATATTGTGATTTTGCTTGTTCTAGTGTTTAAGGAGCTGACTTCTCACTGAAGAAAGCGCACGTGTATCCATCACTAAATTGTCTTAGTGGAATCTCTGCACCCAGTCAATTAAACTTATTCACATATGGCTGGGTTAGGATTGGTTTACAGGTTAAACATAGTTTAACTAAGCTTTTGGTATTTAATCAAATAGACTTGGGGATCTTGCTTCAATCCTTTGGTTCAACACTTACCCAAAAGGAAAAAAAAAAACAAACCAAAAAAACCAACAAAAAACCCCAACAAAACAAAACAGTGGAAGTTGTTTAATTCTGGGACAGTGAACAATACATACTCAGGAAATGCACTCAGTGAGTAAGTCACTCTAAAATGACCCGTCGTACAAAGCAAGGTCGTCTCCCAACATCTATTACATCAAACATGGCCTAAGCCACCTGAAAACTCGTCCTTGGTGATCTCTAGGAATTAGAAGGGAGTCTTCTTTTAGCACAGCTCCCAGTTTTGCTGTAATTTAGCTTGCTGCTAATTACTGCCTTCTCTTCATCACCAAACTGCTGCCTTGTTTCCAAAGCAGCAAGCCTAGCTAGATCCTACTTATTTCAAGACTGTCTGCATCACGCTCACAGTTCTGGGAGTACAACACAGAAACACCTATGGTGCCCTCAGAGGGAAACCAGTACAAGCCCAGCAAAGTTGTAGCTTGGGCTCTGGGCTATGCTGCACTTTGGTTTATGTTGTTGAGCACCCGAGTAAGTCAGTAGCTACTGCACTGTGCTCAAGGGCCAGAAAACCACTCACTTTGATGAGAAACCAAACCCAACCACACATAACGATGAGTTTTGATCACAACTTTGCCATTTCAAGTCAGTAGAGCAGAAAATCTCTAGAAGAAGGCATCTTCACACCCTCAAACCTCACTTCTGAAATACTAACTCAAGCAGAGGAACATCCACAAAGTGTAAATGCAACCTTAGATTTTCCTTTGCATCGTGAATGCCTGCAAAGTTCCTTTTCTTCTTAATAGGAAAAAAAAAGCTTACATGCAGCTGACAAGAAAAGAAAAAAAAGGGGGGAGACAATCAATGGCAAAGACAGAACTTACTTCAATAGGGTGACTGTTGTCTAAGGCATCAAGCTCTTGAGCTCGTGTGTAATCAGCAGAAACAAACTGAGTCCAGATATCGTACTCTGGGAAACAGTGATCTACACATAGGTACTCAATCCAGGAGGCGAATCCTTCATTCAGCCAGAGATGGGTCCACCATTCCTGGAAAGATAAGGAGACAGAATAAAGAACAAAATTCCAAGAGCTTCATTTAATCAACAAGAAGTTTCAAGGAAAGATAAGCTGTTAATGGCCTGGTTTAATACAAATCAGAGAAATAAGTAACACTTGTAAGCACAAATTCCTCTCTATAAAGAAGTTGTCAGCCCAAGAAGAGTAATCAGCACCCAGTAACTTGCCTTCCCCTCTGTCTTAAGTTTTAGAAACTCTGCATGGAGGAGAACTGCATCAGGTACAAATGAAATTCCTGGAGACTAGACTAGAGGTCAGAGCAGAGCTGCCGAGGGAACAGCGAAGACGTTAGCTAGACTAGGGAAGAGTCGGCGACGTGCATGGTTCAGTAAAGCACCAGATTTGTGGGCAACACAATGACAATGTCTTTTTCAAACTGAATAGCAGCAGCAGCAGACCGATTTTGTTTGTGTTTGGTTTTTTTTGCAAAAGAGTATGCTTACATAAAGAAGAAAACCTGGAATTTGAAAAACTGTTCTAGACGACGGAAACCTGAAATCTAGTAAACAGTTAAAAGTTGTTTCTCACCACCCAAAGTTGGGCTTTGTTTTTTTTAAGATAAGAATGTTACACTGACATTTTCAAATTCTTCCCTTCATTTCTAATATTTAACTGAAGTAGGCAAGATAAGGAAGCAAGCTACGGATGCTGAGGAAGAAAACACCCTTTTCCATAACTGCACCTACCAACCATTCTTTAAATGTAAATGGGGAGGTTAACTCAGATGAGCATGGCTGTGATGATATGGACCGTTAAGTAAAAGAAACCGAACAGGATGTAGAATCAGCCCAGTAAGCCATTCTACAAAGAACTAGTGCTTCTACTATGAATGAAACATTTACCCCAGGGAGGGTGGAATTTCAATAAGGAAAGCTGTTACTGAAACTCTACACAGATAAGCCCCGCTTTATTTTTAGAGTGGAGACTATCCAATTTTCTTTTACATTTCTGATCGCATCTGTTTCCAAGTCAAGGTTCCAATACACACAGATTGGTGCCAAAGGATTAATGCAACTGCAAAACAGATTCCTGGGCAATTAGGTTGGACTTCTAAATCTTTTCACCTCTCTGTTTTTCTCCTTATCGTACTGGAACCTAACTGCTCACAAATCTATTTCTTCCCCTGGAAGTATTCTGATTTCATATATTTTTGCTACAGAAGATCTGGCATATTGTGCTGGCCAATAAGATCTTGTACTGGGAAACTAAACCAGTGATGCTGCTGAAGGTTTTGGATGTGCTGTATGCACCTCAGATTAGAGAGGAGAAAAAGCTGACTTTCTGGAAATTGAGAAGTAACACTGGAATGTCTTTTCATATTCCACAGTTGCATCACAGAATATAAAATGAGAAAAAATTCTTCAAGAAAAATTTTTGAAAACCTAGAGCTTCAAAAGGAAAATAAAAAGCTAATTTGATATAAATTCTAGAGATTCTTGTAAATGATACTTTCTCAAGCTTACTGCCACAGTTCTCAATGGTCAGAAGGACCACAAACGGTTCGGGGGTCACTAATGGTCCCCAAGGCACTTGCTGGCACCCTACAGTGGTGTCTAGTCACATGATGCTGGCTCTCCTTGCTTCCAGCTGCTCAACTGTACTAAAAGCTAAAAATATATTACTTCAATATTACTTTTCCATTTGAGTATTGTGTTGCTCTCACATGGAAGCTACCTGTGCTACCACAAACAGGAACGGACACAGTTGACTAGATTTTAAGAGGCACGGCGCTGTAGAAAAGTTCGACAAACTTGCTTAGTGTTATAATTAATATTTATACCAAGCTCTTCCCTCCATCCACTCACACTTCATTTAAGCAGCCTAAAAGCCAGAACAATGCAGATCTGGGGCTCCAGAAGCCATGCTTTTTTATGAAACTCGTTTCTTACAACACAAGAAACTTCCTAACTCAGGAAATACTTGGATTCATGCATCTGTTTGCAGGGTTTAGGGAAAAGGAATGTCAGATCTAATTAACAGAGTAAGCTGAAGCCATTTTTTAGGAGCAGAAGCTCTGACAGATACCGGTTTCAGTTTTTAGCACTAAATGGAATTTATTTACAGATTTCAGTCTTGCTGTCTCAGGTATGCTTTTATTCCCATCAACATGACTCCAACATCAAACCATTCAGTCAGACAGCTCCTCATATATCCCGAGTAATTCACATGAGTTACTACTGAGCAACTCTTCAGCTACTGGACTAGAACAATTTGCAATGCTGAGCTGGTACTGCTATGCCTGCTTGGTATGAAAGCCTGATGAGTGAATCATGCCTACCTGAAAGGAAAACAGTGGATTCTTGCTCCTAAGTAACCTGACTGGCCAAAATGATTTCCATGGAACACCTGCTCAACTCTAACTAGGACTATACTCAAACAATTGAACGCTACTTCACATAGAAAAGATCTAGGAATACTTTTAAAGAACACGCTAGTAAAGAAGAAAGTGGTAATAAAGTGCTACCTGAATTTTTTTTTTATTTTATTTTAAAGATACCATGCCTGCTATTAAGGGGCACTAGAACACACACATGATACGAAGCACATGTCAAAGAAAAACAGAAGAACTTGTAACTGTTAGATACCATGGTCACAAGGTTTCCAAACCACTGATGAGCAAGTTCATGTCCTACAACCAGAGCAACCCACTGGCGAGATGAAGAACAGGAATTTTTGGGGTCAATGAGCAATGCAGTCTCCCTGTATTTAAGAGAGAAAGATAACTGAACAGAGTGGTACATGCCTAGGGAAAAAACACAATCAAAAGTAGGTTAAATTACCTAAGCAAGCTAAAACGTGACCAGTACAACTGAAAAAACCAAAAGCTATTTCAGTTTAGACATTAAATTATTTTGGTAAGTTCCACAGTGGTTGGAATGCTTTGGAACAATAATTCCTTATGGCATGCAAGAAGATAAGTGCAAAAACTCAGGCAGGAACAGAAAGTTTATCCTTTATTTATAAAATAGCTCATCTACATAATCTAGGAACCTTAACTGTAACTCCCTTTGCACTGCATGATATATGCACAGCAAGTCTTCTCTGCCTCCCCCATCCCCAAAGGAATTCCAACTCTTCCAAGTGCACAACCAGCCGTGTTACACTCGCCACTGCAGAAGCACAAGATTCTCCACACAGGGCACACGTGCACACACACATACACACGCAAGTGCTCCCTAGGGCAGGCACACAACCTTCTGCTATAAACACCCCCATCATGATCAGGACTTAGTGGGTCAGTCCAAGACTTCTGGACTGCTGCAACCCAAAGGGGGAAAACGTGCATCTCAAAACATAGATGGTGCCTGCAGGTTATGCCAGCCTTCTGTCCCCAAAGGGATAAAGCAAGCGTGCCAAACTGACCATAAAGGGACAGGTGAAATTAACAGCACAATTAAGAAAGGCTTCCAAAAATTCTACTCATCCAGGACAAATATTTTTTTTTCCCCACAGGGAGTAAAATACCAGATTTTATCAGAATTGTGATAAGCAGACAAGTAGAGTTTAAACCTGGGCTCAAATTTCCATTTCAATTTTTTAAGGCCAAATTAAAAGCTTAGCAGAAGAAATTCAAACCATTTCAGGATTTAAAGTCTAAAGCTTACAAGACCAATGTTGTACAAAAAGAAGGAAAATAATTCTAACAATGAGCACAAATAATGTAATAATATCAAGCAAAAGTACAAAAGCTTGATCAGGTGAACAAAAAAAAAAACTGAAAAGGAAGGCAAGTTAATATTTTTTATTTATTCGTATCCACATGGTTATACTGTGGTTGCTAAATTTACCAACTTGCCTACAACATAAAATAAGAAACTCTTCCAGCTGTGTCAGTAAGTATGTAACTTTTACATACTTAAAACTTTTACATACAAACTTTTTGGGGAAAAAGCGGCCAAGAAAGCTCTCTTGTAGAACAGGCAGTGCTGCCAGACACTTAAAAATCTCACACCCTTGGACAGTAGTTGTAATAGCTCATTCTTGCCTTCCTAAGCCTTGTACAATAATGCACGCTGCTGCAGAAGTCAAAATTATCCAAACTGAAGCAAGAGTTGAAGGTATTTACTCAGTCTTATTTGGGATGATACCCAATAATTACAGCTCCCTAAAACTAATCCAATTACTTCCAAGAATTAGTGAACAAAGAGGGGGAAAGACAGTATTTTAACAGCATACCTATAAGTAACAAGGCCCCAGTTCTCCATGGCACCTTTATAAAATAAATACAAAGGTTTATTGATATTGATACACACCTCTTCCTAAATGTTTAAAATTCAAATAAAACACAGTTCATCAATAAAGTGAGTTACTTTACCAGCAGCAAAGTCTGCAATAGCTATGAGATCAATTTTAGGAAGAGGGTAAGGAACATTGAAGTAGTCCTTATAAAAAGGCAGAGTTTTAGCAGCAACCTGTAAGAAACAACAGGAGAAATGTTATGTTAACTTGGAAAAATTAGTGAAACTTGAAAATTTATGCCTGAAACTAGCCTAAGAAAGCAGCATACATGAGATTTCTTCCAGAAGTCCCATTCCCAGCTTCCAGAGCACAATGGTTTGGAAGACTCCCATCCTCTTTTTCTCCCAGGCTGCAGCCTACCCTTCAGTACTTCCCGTCGTCTCACCAAATCAGAACTGAATTAAACCGTATGTTTTCATCATTATGGACATTAGCTTGTCCACAACTGAAATTCTGTTTAATATCAAGCCCAGTCTCTCCAAGCCATTAAAGTGAAAAACCACCCTCATGAGCTTTGCATGGAATTAGGTGATGAACAGAGGAGAGCGCTATGTCCAGCCTGTCAGAGATTGCTACAGCGATAACGAAGTCACTGTGGGTACATTTACCTCTAATGCAAACTTTCCTTGTTCCGCTTTGCCAACAGGCGTGTAAACACGCACTAAGACGCCATCAAGGGACCTGGCCTCTACGAAGTCATACTCTCCCACCACAAACGCTACAAGATACGTTGACATTATAGGGGTGCGAGCAAACTTCACCTCCACCAGATTTTCATCATCTGGGTACGGCTTCCGGTCGATGACATTCTTTCAACATGAAAGGGAATCAGTTAGTTTCATGGAAGTGAAACTGGATTACACAATACATTTGACTAACTATTCCATCACTATGAGTCATGCACTTAAAATAAAAGGACTACTTTTATGATTTTAAAATACAGACCACAGTGTAGTTCCCCTCCAAACTAAAAATGCCCTCTCACACATGGAGAGGTACTTTTATAATATGTAAGTTCTACTCCATACTGAGCATATCAGCTATCAGCTGCTGTCCTTTAAAGAGAGTATTACCCAGATCCCAACAAGGCATCGGGCTTTCACTTCAAATTCTGAAACAGAAACCGTAACCATGTGGTCAGTGGGCAAGGCAAGACTTTACAGGTAACTATGAAAGTCAGATACTGGGATTAAAAAAGTCTATTTTTAAACTGACTTGCTCTACTCCAACAACATAATCTAGAAATACGTGCACCATATTTAAAGGAGCAACCTGAAAATGCCCACTTGTATTTGTGACAGAAGTACTTCTACTTGTACATTTTATCCCAGTTCCTAGTCAGAAATTCTCTAGAGCAGAAAACATGCTTATTTATCTCAAGTGCTTATGTAGCTATAACAGCTATACAAACACACAAAGGCTTAGTTTTTTTCCAGTCACTCTTAATCAAGCAGCACGTGGCTTGACATATGCTAAGACTTTATTTTTTTTAAGCCACCACCACTGTGGTTTGTACAACCTGTTTAGGTTTTGTGCTAGCATCTGACATCACACTAGCACCTTTTTAAAAGCGCTCTCAATTTTTTTACTGCTTAGTAATAGCTAGCAAGACAACCTATATTCCTAATTCTGTCTGTTAAACACTATTTAACTATCAAATAATCAGCTGCCATTATTACAGCTTTATTTAAAGCACTGTTTACTTGCACATCAAGAACTTACCATATTTGACAGAGCTACTCTGTCTTTAGGAACCACCAAAGAAATATCAAATGTTGCCTTAATAGCAGGCTCATCCCAGCAAGGGAAAGCTCTGCGAGCATCAGTAGCCTGAAGGAAATAAGAGCATTAAACAAATAAATCACAAGAGATTGTGGTGATAAAACACACACAAAAATTCAGCATATTTTACAGGCAAGATGTTGGGTGAGTGATGGCCAGTCATTGGTGTAAGGTCTCATCATAGACACTCTTGACCTCTGTCTTAAAGCATTTTATTCTTTCTTATTTCACTTGGTTTAAAAAAAAAAAAAAAAAGCAGCTGAAAAGCACTCTGTGCTCCAATGGAATTCTACAGTCTGAGCAAAATTTAGCAGAGTCATGACAGGAGCAAAGCTCAGTCATGTGAAAGCAGAGAGGGCACCCAGGCGTTCACAGACCGTACACACAAGACCACCTATTTATATTCCATCAGTAGACTGCACCCAAGAAATGTTCTATTTGTACAAGGTAAGTACTCCATGTTTTTATGTAACCAGGCAGATAACTATGAAATTACAATATGGTATAAAATTCTGTCATTATGTCCAGGGTTTATGTAATACTTGAGACACAATCTGGCTCGCATTTTGGATGTCATTAAGCTACTGAGATAAAGACAGAGTGTCCTATTAAAAAAATTAATATACTTCATAAAGGAAAGCTATATAGAGGTATTTGGACATATCTAAATAAATAGCTATTCTTAAACATTGCAGCTATTGTATATATACGATGCATCACACATCAGCCTGATCGTTGGCAGGGGAATTTGCCAAATCTGGAGTTTGTTGACCTTGAAGTCACAATATAAAGGCTGCTTTTAGTATTACGCATCCACACTAAGAGCAAGAAGCAAAAAAATAGAGATTTTTGAAATTTACCCGGAGGGTATAGCTAACGCTAGGAAATTGCGTCTTTGCTTCTTCTAAACAGAAATCCAATATAAAGAATGACATTCCCTGAAAACAAAAATATAGCCCATACCTCAAACTGAGTGACAGCAGCATAGCGTGTGTCTCCAGTAGGGGTGGTATATTTACTTCGGTAAAAACCTTTCATTTTATCATTCAGCTCCCCTACAAAGTCTATCTTTAGTGTCCCTGTCCCTGTAACAGAAACAGATGGGGCATTGTTATTTCCATGTGCCAAACAGAACGTTTATTTGGTCTGGACCTTCAGGCCAGGCTACTCAGTTGGCCCCCTGCCCTTCTGAAATAAGACGTCCCTTCAACTCATCTCCACCCATCACTTTTTTTGCCAGCCTCCCTCAAACCCTTCATTCTCCTTACACAAAATAAGCTCCAGCAGAGCAACGCAGGCAAAGTCGGACTCACCACAGCATTTTAGCACTTGATCAACAAAGGCTGTTCCAGTATTCATTCTCATCTTCTGAACACAATACAATAACCAGGAGAGACCTACCTTAAGGCACCTGAGAAGTCCAATCCTACAATCCTTACCTTGGAGTAAGGTTTGAAAAAGTATAGGATGGCTACGAAGTAATAATAGCATCCTATGAAATCTACTACAAAAGCCAAGACGGAGCATTGGCTGTGTTCAAGCTTGTAAGTCAATTAGTCTCAGGATTTATTCTGCCCTCGATGTCTCAGTGCAAAAGGGGAAACCTGATCTTGATCAGAGAGGCAGCATGCCAATATCCCACAGAATCACACACTAAAGTTTTATCACCCTAGAATCTTTATATTTGTATTTGTCAAGATGAAATAAAACTGCTTTTTCAAATTGAAGAGCTGAGTTTCAATTGACAAACTCCTCATAGCAAAAAACCTGTAGTAGTTTCAAAAGAATTAGTACATTCATGCCTAGGAAAATACTGCAGTAATTCAGATTAGCTCAGTCTCAGTAAGAGGAAAACAGATCATCAGTAGTTAACATAAATAGCTTCTCGGCCTAACTCCCAATAGCAGGTAAATAATTAGAGTCACCTCAGGTGTTGGAAGCAAACATCACCATTAGTGAAACATTTTCAATTCCAGAGGCTCACAAAGTGACTTACAGTGGACAGACTCCTTAGGGAGCACTATCGTCGCAGTCAGAAACTTCAGGGAAAACAGAGCTGTCCTGCTCTGGCTTTTTCAAGTTCAAATATCTTAAACACAGGTTGAAACAAGCAGAAAGCATGAAAATAGCTCTTACCTTTTTGAAGAGTACTGGGAAAGGAGAGAGTAACCTTTTCATCCTCATTTTGATAGTTGAACCCTGTGGCATGTACCTCTGAAACAGAAAAACAGACTACTTTGAAATAAGCCCCAGAGGTGTTTGCAACTCATGAACATTTAAAATTAACTGAATCAGCTGAATCCAACAACATGCTGTAGTTACTGAACAGATCAATGAAGGTTTTGAATAATTCAAAGTGATATAAATGCAAGCAACCAAAGAAACACCACCCATTGTCGGAGTTCCACGTTACATTATCTTGTTTCAAACAGCTAAATCTACCACATTTACATCAGACTCAAAGCACCACCTCCATGCTCCTTCCACCTCTACCATACATCCCGTCCATCAGAATGCTGCACTCATACATGGCGGGGAAGTCTTCTGCTATGCAGAGTAATGAAAGCTGTACTGTTAAATTGTAAACTTGCAGTAAGAACTATATCCCGTAGAATGCCGGTAAAGCTGGTAACGACTACTACAATCCTGACAAACGGTAAAATATCGCACAAAACTTCCCCTCAATATTAAATGCTTACATCAGTGCAGCAGGCTTCTTATTAATTATTCCAAACAGGATGCTTATGATTTATTTAACTAGTTTGTGGCTCTCACTTTGAAAAGCACACTAATATCGACAGCAAGGTGGTTTTGTTTGGTTTTAACCACAAAGAAAAACACAATGTTGGTTTTATTTAAAAATTGTCTTCAGAACCAGGGCATCCAAAATCAACCAGAATATTAAGCAGAATGGCATTTGCACAGCATTGGATCTATTTGTGGATGCAAACATCTGAACTACGAGGCCAAGCTGGATAGATGGGGGAGGGAATCGGTACACAGGAATTAAACTGTCCTGCAGCTTAGACTTAGCAGAGCCCAGGGAGAATACCTGGTGTTGCTTCTTCCTTCCTAATTCATTGAGTCTCACTCGTTGCATCCAAGGTGATGTACATCTCTGCTCCTTCAACCAAAAACCTAAAATAGCTATGTAGGACCTCACTGTGCAAGTTCTGCTACCTATGTCGCTCCATACTCAACCACCACAGTAACCAGCTATCTTTAAGGAATGTAAATCTGCACCAAAATAAATGAGCAATGCTTTCTACCGCACATCAGCATCTTGAACTACCAAACTTGGTAAGCCTGGACACAACAATACATCTTTCTATGCAGATACACTGACGTATAATTCTAGATTTATAAATACAGTAAACATCTGGCAGTCCAGCACAGTTTTGGAAGGTTCAGGAAACGCACAGACCAGTTTAAAGAAGCAGCATTCCTAGTACAAGCTGCCTGTCCCATCCCACTTCTATCACTCAAATTGAAGTGAAAACACACTTAGGATATTGAAATGCTAGTGAGGGTCTAGCAATCTTTTTCAGGTATTTTCAAAATTGACCAAGGAAGAAAGATTCAGTAAATAGCTTCAATTATCTACTGAAATAGATACTAGTTTTGAATGGTTATAGAAAAAAGGACAAAAAAGAATACTGGAAAGTACTGTGACACAGAGAAGTGAACACCCCAAAAGAAAAACCTACCACTATATCAACTGCTTCATTACATGAAATTCTGAATGACAAAGCTTGTTTGAAACAACAATTTACTTTACAGAATGAAGTGTTCCACACTCAAGTATCATTACAAGAATCCAGGTACTCTGTTTCAGAGGCAGCCTAAGCACATTCGCAAGATGTTCAGCTAAGTTGTTCCATATGTGACAGAAGTAACTGGAAACATGTTTTTATTTTTATAAAATTTAAAGAGCTATTTATTCTGGAATAGTATGATTTCAGCCTTAAGTCAGAGTTAATACCAACCTCTGCTCACAGAGAACATAAATGCAGAAACTGCATGAATGCATTAGTCTTAACTACTGGTTTCACAGTGCTCTGCTCAGCGTTTAATCAGAGTTAACCATCATGCTAGGGTACATAATACATAAATGCTTACAAGAAAACAATTCTAGCTGTAAAAAAAAAAAAATACAGTACAGAAACTAATTCAAGAAAAAAAAACTCTTTACAGGATCAAGTAGAAGAACTTTAGACTACTAGTCTAAAACAGTTAGAAGAAGAGTTCCAAGAGTTTTAAGATCAAGTGTAAGAGGGATGAGATAGACCATTTAAACAGAAGATATGCCAAGGACATCACAATGCCAGCAAGCATTGGACAATGAGCAACAAAAAGTAAAGGTTTAGCTTCTCTTGTGATACCTCTGTGGAATACTGAGGCAGAAAGGAGACATTATAAGAGAGCTGGAGAGAAGATATTCAGGGGAACAACGCTAGCATACAACACACTAGTCTGGAAGTGGGCTTCCAAGTAACAGAGAGTGGAGCTGATTGCTGACTACATCGTTTTGATCCAATGAATTTTGACCCCGGCTATCTTTAGAGTCCAACAGACAACAAATCTGTTGTTCTGCGATAGCATGTTAGTGACCTCGGTCAGACGGGCTGAATACCTGTTGGAAATTTATGTTAGCCTGCCTGGGAGGAATCCTGCTGCTGGACAACCTGCAGATGCTGAGCTGTCAGCCTGTGGTCAAGAGGCTAAAGGAAAACCTGAGAAACCTCTGATAAAGATCAGTACAAGAATGCAGAAACACTCCACTCATTTATTTTAAAATGACCACAGCAAACCAAAAACATTTGTATCTTTTTACAACTTCTAATGGAAACAATCTGATACTGAAGACAAACAATACCATGACTTCAGGATCATAGTTCCAACCTACTGAAACTGAGAAATACAGAAGAATGCATGTTATGCAGATCTTCTGCCAAAAGTTGACAATGAATATCAAGTTTCCCCCTCCTCCCCTCCCAAATGTGAAGTCCTCCTAAGTGTATTTGAATTTGTAGCTCCACTACTTTATAACCTTTTTAACCTCTACTAGGAAAGCCATAGGAAAGACAATTAACATTACCGGTGCTAGAAAAAGGTGAAGACCTGCAGGTTTTTTCCCCCCTGCAACAGGCTGGAAAAGCATATTAACACTTGCAGAAAGCAACCTTGTTTCAAAGAACTTCTCAACCTTATTTTACAGTGTTAGATCCCAATACCCTAAGGTTAGAAACAATGTTTAAACAAGTTATAGTTTAAATGGGCTGGAAGCTGCCACCTCAGGAGCATACTGATGGCAATCTCCACTAAAGGAGTCTTGTGATACCCCAGGACTGCCCCACTTGCCAAGACAACCAGCCTCTGATGAACACTAAAAAGCAACAGCAAGAGTACATCTGGAACAAAAGGTAACCCTCATTTACAGTTTCACAAGATGTGTAGTCATTGAGGAGTTGGTGTCTAGAACAGTATCTTTCCATGTTCAACTCCAGCAACTTTTTTTAATTATTAAAGCTGCTGCTTATATATCAACTTCTGAAACAGCAGAATATAAATGAAAGATTCAAAGTTGTTTGTTTTTTTTTTAAACTATTCAGTGCCAATAATTTAATCCAGAGCAAAAGAACCAAGGAAAACCATCAACAATACTTTTTGTTAGAGTTTAAGAGAACTGCTTATAACAAAGATGTAATTGCAGTAAAAGGCTGTCTGAATTCCTAACAGTGTTGAATACAAAAGCTCCTGAAGAGAACAACACAATTTTGGCAGCCTACTAACTTTGGAGAGTTTGGCACTGCAAGGTTGCAAGTTAATCACTAGCACATTAGTACACAGTCTGGACCAAGTCGCATGAGAAAATGAAAAGCTGCTAGTGCTCCACGTCTTTGGAAAAAATGCATAAAAATCAGATCGAGCCACCCTCCCAAACTCAGAGCACTACATATCAAATTTTACAACGGCATTTTAAATAAATTACAGTCCTTTTACAGAGTACTTCCTGAAATTGCACAGTAACCAGATGGATACATCAATTAATGATCCCAATTTCTGTATTACATGCTTATAAATGTGGATCCTAGCCAAACGTTTTAAGCAATGTCAAATGTGCACGTATTTCAAAGTGTAGACAAAGCCAAGTGCAGTAGCCCTCCTTCCATGGCATAGAGAAGTCACAGGCAATTAAGGTATGGTAGCTTAATGAACTTGCATTCATCAACTGAGCTGCAGTGACTGTGTGCACTCTGCCTACTCTACCCGCAAATTAAACACGTTAGCTTAAAACATCTATGTGTTGACATAGCATACACAGTCCTCCTTCAGCATTAGCCACTGAACTATGGCGATGCAATTCCCGAGAATGCTAACGCTTTCGAGCCCTTTCACATCTTTTCACGTTTCAAACCAGTGGTTGTAAAATCCTTTAAAGGAGTCAGAAGTATTCTCACTTATCAGATATTCCCAAACTGCCCATCCCAACGCATCCCAGGCCTCCTTAAAAAACCCACCATTAAAAATTCTGTCACATCAAGTCCTCTCCAGAAGAAAGGATGAAGACGAGCTTTTCTACAACAAAGAAAGATTTCACAACTGGCTTAAACAAATCTAGCCTGCTACAGGCAGAGACAGTAGTCTCATTTTTCCCACCTGGCCCCAGCTGCACGTTCCCATTCCCTTCCTTCCACTGGCATTCACATACAATCACCAGGAGCAGGAAGATGATCTGTCTCCAAGCTGCCTTTTTTTCTTTTTTTTTTTCCTCCTTGTAGAGGCAGTTTTCAGCCAGTGCTGTTTCCTGATCCACACGGCTGCTCAGCAGCACAAACACGAATGCCAACAGGAGTGGGCCAGTGCCATTGCCCCTTTCCACAGCAGCATGCTATGAGGCTGCCTTACGATCATAGTGAAATGGTAGTGCTCCCAGGCCAAGGGAAAGCATTGCTTAGAGACACTGGGGTCACATTGCTTAGCTTTCCAGAAGCGCTAGTCATCTTTTGTTAAACATCAGCTGAGGGTTTGCCTTAACCCCAGCATCCAAGCATGTTCCTACTATACTGGGAAGGAAAAGACTAAAATAATGAGTACTGGCCTTAAAACCTTTTGAAGGTTGAAGTACAAATCAAAGTTCACTTGATTATTTCTGCTAAACAAACATCACTGTGGTTGCTGGCTGTTTTCTACGCAAAACTGGCAACTGCTACCCTCCATGCATCTCTAAATTTAAAGAAGATGCTTTAGATCCCCCAGTATCTGGAAAACTTTCCAAGCTAAACAAAGGCAACGTGATTCACTGATTATTACTTCAGCACAATTTCACAGCTCCTTAAAAGAGAGATTAACAGGAAGCTCAAACTACTCGGCAT